CTTTGTTAACTCGTTTTTGCCATGGTATTAATCGAAAAAGTCTCAAATCTTGTAGGAGATGTTGGGTACACGTCGTTGTACGGGCAATTACCGGATTATGAGAAGAAGAGAATGGAGGATTCTGAGTCATTGGTGACACCATTTGCATCGTCAGAGAGACCGTGGGAGACAATATTCAGCGGCTCTACTCTAAATTTCCCGCCTCTTGAGAAACTATGTGCTGAGTTCTTTGAGTCTCTAATGGAGAAAAGAGCGTCCGTTGTGGAATGAGAGTCTTTATACAAACTTAGCCACAAAAAGGTTTTGTAAGGTTTATACCAAAAGTTACTAAGGAAATTTTGTAGCTTCTTGTTGTGAGATTCGGTCCGGTTTATGTTGTTACCAGACTTTGGGAAAAAGTGCAGGATTCTAACCAAGTGCCCATGAAAGCTACTTGCCTTTTTTTTTCTCTTCCAGTCTTCCTTGAGTACAATTGTATCGCAAGAGGAAATTCAAAACTAAACAAATGATATTTTGGGAAGAAATTGCAAATACAGTTGTATGAACATGGGAAATGTGGAATCCGAAAATGATTAATTGGTGTCAGTGTTGCGTGTTTTGATAATTCTGAATTCTCGCAAGTTTAGTTAGGGTAACGCCATTAAGATGAAGTAGCTAGACTTATAAAACTTTTGGAGAATTTACTTGTTGTAAAAGTTGTTAATTCGGGTGCCAACTTTCTTCTTTGTTTAGCTAGCAAATGATACATCTATGTTGGATTTGGTTCACGGTTTAGCTCTGGTTCAGGTCTGTGATTGTGAAGTCTTCAAATGGGCTTTGCGCAGTATTGAAGTTGGACCAGTGGCAGTTCCTTAAGTCGCTATAACGCAGTATCTTCTGCTTCTTATCTCATCTTTGTAACACAAAACTAATCTCCGGGACTTGTGTAAATCCGGATTTTTTTTGCCATTTAACTGCATTGGCCAACCATGATTTGTCTGATCAAAGTCACTTTGTAATTCTTTAAAGGATACTACTATCTTACAAGTTACAACATGACTTTGACTTAACATTTATCTGCAAAAATTTATCATCGAATTGATGAAGATTGCGCAGTTATTTCCTAATAGCTAATTGCTTTATAATATAAAGTTAATTACTTTCCAACACATAACTTTAGTATCATACTATACTATGCTTTAACGGTCAAAATGTGTAAAACAAATTATAATGTAAAAGGTTAATTTATGTTCTTAAAATTACTATTTACAAACTAACTCTATTGTTTGTTTCTAAACTCAATCTCAGAATCAAAACTCTTAAGTCCACTATCAAAATTAACCCTATACATATTTTACAACTTAAATATATTATTTCAAATTGGTAAGGAGAAAGAAACAAGAGCATGCCTTT